AGAGTTGGAGGCTCTCCCCATTATTGCTGATCTTGTCTTTAGGTCTCCATAACAAAGGCAGATACTGCATCGTGAGTATCCTCACAGTGCCTGCAACTGTACTGTGCTGCAACATTCATCTGGTGGTATCTCTACTGTGCAGTGCCATGTGGCATGCCCCACGTTTGAACACAAACAGAAACTTCTGACATAGGAATTTGAAAATTTACTCTACTAGGCTATGTGTACAGGGCAACAAAACTACATGATCAATGCACCTCTTCTGCAGGTGAAAAACACAAGGTGCAAGTAGGAAGGTTTATAATGCCTTAATAGATCAAAAGAAAGCAAACAACAGAAACTAGTTTTATAGGGTTTACATATACTTTAACAACTGTATAACATCATTTTCAACAGTCTTATGCTTTAAAAACATCTGTGTCGCCCATTATGTCTAATAATATTCAATCCCCAAATGTTTCCAGTGCAGGTTAGGAAGTGAAAGGAATATTGGAAACATGAACACTTTTCTTTCTGACAGTTCTATGATTGTGTAGAGAGTGAAGTTTCAGCTGTCCTGTGAAAAAGATATCTATAAATACTTTCTCATCTACTTCTGCTTTAACCAGACCGCATATCGCCTTGGATTCTCTCCTACTTAGGAACCCTAAACTGATGCATGTCCTATCTCTCCTAAACAGATCCTTCTTGAAACCCTTCCTGGCAAAGCTGCATAAATGGGAACAAGAACTACAAAAGCCCATCCTACAGATTGGGACAAGGCTTTTGCCTTCTCCCATGAAATGACTATCTTCAGTTGCGTTAGTATCGATATTCCATAGGCATCAGCAGACCCTCCTTTAGATAGTTTTCCTATTGTATCTATAGTTCCATGTGGTCACATGCTACAATCTAATAGCACATATTTTATTGTGCAGCATGATCTCATAATCTGAACAATACTAACCTTATATATAAATAAATCTATTATTATAATATATAACATTTTAACATATATATATATATATATATATATATATATATATAAAAAAATTATATATTATAAATCTATTATGTGTGGCTCTCTCAAAAAGGATAATGTGTGAGCCCCTGCACTTTGCTATATAGGCGTACGTAGCACTACCCCCTTAGGGACCGCTGGATTTGAATTTGGTCCCCCTAAGCTTTGCATGGCCAGGCAAGAGACATTTTTCACACTTGTACTCTCAGAGTCAGTAAACAGTCCTTGAGCTGGTTTTTGGTTGTTTTAATTAAGGGGTTAACAACTTGGATGGTGTCTAGGCGTATATGGGATACCCAAGGAACTGTAGAACTGGAGGACAAACTTCTTAGCAACTATGTACAAAAAATGGTGGACTGGAAAAATAAAGCACTGTTCCTTTTTGGTGTACCTCCTCAGACCCAGGATGAATCCTCCTCTTCACCCAGCTGTGCTGAGGGTATCCCTGCACAAGGAGTTCCTAAGAGCTTGCAGTTAAGCAGTCCCAGGTGAAGACAAGTTGGGTATTGCACCTGACCATCCCTCTCCCCTTTTCCAGCCCAGGGAGTGTAGGTGTACTCACACTGTCCTGTCCTGTCAGCGTGGTGAGTTGGTAGCTGATTTCAGGCCTTTCACTGGACTGGCTCCTTCCCTGCTATATAGACTGTCCTCTCCAGAAGACATTGAAGCAGTGGAGATCTTTTTCTCCAGCGACCTGCCTGTAGGTGTGCTCCCCTCCCTGGTGCCTCCTCCCAGGCTCTTCACTCCAGCCTTCCTCAATCCATCTTCCACCTGACACTGCACCCCCCCCCCCCCCCCAGGCTCTGCCACATTTTAGGGTTGCCCTGGTCTCCATTCCCAGCCTCCTGCCAGGGGATTGGTCAGAGTCCCTCAAACATGCAGATCTTGGCCTCCTCCCCTCCTCCACTCCTATTCCAGAAAGCGCTCAGGTTTCTGGAGAGGTGGGAGGGCTCCATAAGCCCTGACCTTTTAAAGCCTCCCAGCCTGTACTGAGGTTACCTCACGACCTCACTCCCCAGGCTGACTCAACCCCAGACTGCTACTCAACCTCTATCTAACAAAAACTATCTAACAAACCTGGAGGGAGTTATACGTATTTAGTCTTAAAAGTATTGTACTCCTCTTCTGTGTCAAGGAGCATGATCATTATTAACGTAATTTAATCATATTAGAATCAATAATAATGTAAATTTAATTTTGAGCCACTGGAGAAAACATATAAATGTGTATATAAACAATTTATTATGTTGCAGGCTCTGTAGCTCACCCTCACGTGATGTGCGCCAGAAAAATGGACAATAAACAAATTGGGTGCCGCGCTCTATTAATTGTTTAAAACTGTGAATTACCAAACATATGTTAATCTAACATTAGTTTGAATTTACACCATAAACATGCATAAATACAACTTGTTCAAGTGATACAAAGTAAGTGCAAAAATAAATAAATAAATAAAAGATAACATAAATTCACAAGTGAAAGTGAATCAACACAACCGTGAAAATGGAATAATCCAGTCGTGACCTTAATCTGTATATATTGGGTCCCATATGCACTAGTGCAAAGGCAAACTCAATGCAAGTTCAGCAGATAACTGGTTTCAATATACTCTCCTTAAGAACAGCCTGTGATTTTATAGCTGAGGTGGTATATAATGGGAACCGCACTGTGAGCCTGTATGAGTAACGAGATCTCTCCTTCCTCAAAGCACTCCTTAGTCCAGTTCTCCTCGTATGGATCATAGGGGAAAGAAAGAGAGATATATAGTGTCTTATACGGGGTAAAATACTTTATTGTGCGCTCATAATGCACTCACATAATAGTAAAACAAATTGCGCTTATCATGTGCATAACCGCGGATAGCGGTGGGACCAGCCTCGTAAGTGTGCCTGCGCACACTGTCAGTACTCACCGTGTCTAGGATCAGATGCGTGGTGACGTCACAGTGCAGTTCCCATTATATACCACCTCAGCTATACAATCATAGGCTGTTCTTAAGGAGAGTATATTGAAACCAGTTATCTGCTGAACTTGCATTGAGTTTGCCTTTGCACTAGTGCATATGGGACCCAATATATACAGATTAAGGTCACGATTGGATTATTCCATTTTCACGGTTGTGTTGATTCACTTTCACTTGTGAATTTATATTATCTTTTATTTATTTATTTTTGCATTTATTTTGTATCACTTGAACAAGTTGTATTTATGCATGTTTATGGTGTAAATTCAAACTAATGTTAGATTAACATATGTTTGGTATATCACAGTTTTAAACAATTAATAGAGCGCGGCACCCAATTTGTTTATTAATCATATTAGAAGTTATGAATTGTCTTTGGAGATGTTGAATTGATATAATTACTAAGGCCTGGAAAATTAGAATGTTTTTACAATAGTCATTAAAAGGTATCTGGTTTTCAGGGTTGTGGTTATGCTATCAATTAGCAGTTTAGAGCAGTTTTGTTGATAACCCTCTGCTGGAAACGTATGATTTTCTAAAAAGAAAATTTAATTTAATGAATTATAACCAGCTTGTGTCAAAAGCTGAACTTTTCAATCTTATGATTTGATTTCTGAATATAAATTTTGAATATGACATTCCATTCCTCATTCAGATTGGGAGTCCTCAGATCTCATTATCTTCACATAATTTACTTTGGTCATTTAGGTGTATGAAGTTGACTCTACTGAACATCATAAGAGGATGGTTTTCTGGGGGGACAGCAGTTATTAAATTATGAGCTTGACTGCAAGACTTTAGACTAATTGGTCCACTTTAAAGCAGAACTTCACCCAAAAGGGGAAGTTCTGCTGTAGCTTCCCCTCACCCCCCCCCCCTCGTAATGTTTGGCACAGATTTTTTGGGGGGTGAGGGTACCTGGTTTTGACTGGTACCCGCTCCCACTTCGGTTCGGATCACATAGGCAATCCAAGTGGAAGTTCTCCCCCCCCCCCCCCCTTCCAGCCCGCAGCTGTCTGGGACACATCACAGATCCCAGAAGGCTGTGGGACCATTCACAATGTGCAGTGAGGCTCACAAATGTGCAGTGTGAAGAGGTCACAGCTGGCTTCCCACCCCACAGTTAAGATGTTGGCGCCAGAGACTGAAGTAGAGAAACCTGCTTGGCTAAGGACAGCGCTGGATCCTTGAACAGGTGAGTGGCTGTTTTTTTATAAGTCAGCAGCTACAGTTCTTGTAGCTGCTGACTTTTAATTTTTACACAGGTGACCGAAGAACTACGTTATGTCCTCAGCAATGTTTACATCATACAAAGGATAAGAGTAGAGTCATCAAACCATTTTTCACCCATCAGGTGCCCCCTTTCTATCCCTCTCCTTCTCTTCACTTTCTCTTGACACACTACCTTTCCTTTTCTCCCCATCTAAATTCCCTGGTTCCCACTTCTTTCTTCACCCTCTAATTCCCCGCCCCCATGTTAATGGTGCCTTTGGTGGAAATTGAACCAAGGACCCTCATACTATAAGATAAGAGTGCTAAGCATGTCACGTATTGTCCTGTATGATTTCTGACATCGTTTTAATATGTGTAGTTTTCATGCTATTGTCATACATAAACACCCTGAGGTTTAAAGCAGACCTTTCCTTTTTCACTGAAAATCACATCACCATGCACCTCTGCATGCGGATATGAAATCATCTTACATTCATTAGTTTAGCAAACAATTTTTGCTTTTACTTACAATTACAGTTTTTCCACTTCCCAGTAAGTGAGGCACTGGTGATGTAGTCCTGGTCTCGCAGCTGCCTCATGGGAAGGCTGCATTCCCAGAGCACATCGTGATCTCAGGGAGAAAGGCATTCCTCCCTCAGAAGAAGCCTGCAATTATCCATAAGTATCTGTTCTGTAGATTGCTATGACTAAACATTTCTAAAGTGCCTTTGTATTTTTTTAGATACGTGTAATGTTCCTTTTTCACTTAAAATTCACTCTTTATCTACCATATTAGAGAAAATGTGGCTTCCTCTGCTGGCGGTGCTGTGTCTGCTCCTCCTGTACAGATGGTACAGACAGAGCCAGATACTGGAGAATACTACAGACAAATACGTCTTCATTACTGGATGTGATTCAGGATTTGGGAACAAGCTGGCAAAACAGCTGGATAATCGAGGAATGAAGGTTTTGGCTGCTTGTCTTACGAACACAGGAGCTAGTGAGTTAAAGAAAGAATGTTCCAGCAGATTACAAACTGTGATGTTGGATGTTGCAGACAGCCAAAGTGTTAGTTCTGCTGCAAAGTGGGTCACTAGCATTGTTGCAGATAAAGGTAAGAATTTACCATATATATATTATTTAATATATATACATATATTATAAATTTAATCATGTATTGTTGTTTTGAAATGTACTGCTACAGGGCGGCATGGGTGCGCAAAATCACATGTATATACGTGATTTTGCATTTATCGGTAGGGGGCATGCGCACTACCCACGCTGCCATTCATGGCTGCGGCTGTCAGTCACTGGGTCCTGGCCGGTGATTATTCGGTGAAAACAGGTCTCCTCCCTGTCAGCTCCTGTATACTGCTTTGTATGGCTGTGCATAGCACAGGGGGGCAAGTTGTTAAATTAAGCAGAGTAGTTTCATAAAGGTAAAAATGCTGAACAATGCATATAATGAGATAAACAATTGACTTCACGTTTTTACTTACAGTAACAGGATCAATATAATTTTTAAAGGATGGGTTCACGTTTGAAGCATGTTACGTTACACCTGTATTTAGGCTGTGACATGCTCCAAGCCCCCCAATGTCCCCCTCTCTGTGACAGTGGAAGGGGGCTTTGTAGCAATTGTGCACACAGAGATGGACACGGTCATCCATTTTGCTACAGATCCTCCATCTTGTATCAGTCTCTCTCCCTCCAATCCCCCCTCCCTCAGGAATGTGGTCTGTATATATGCTGAGATCACAGACATCAGGCACAGCAGGGATAGCTTCATGGTTGTAAACCCAATTAGCTGATACCAGGGTGTCTGGCAAACTCTTGCTCTGAAGCTAATCGTAAAGCCATTGTCAGGGATCCGGGTATGACCAAAAATGTGTGGGAACACAGGTGTAGTCAGGGCTGGAGAGGTGGAATGGTCAGGCAGGCCGTTTGGTACTGTTAAGCAACGCCTGGCGGCGTCTCTAGCAGCCCACAGCACGGGGTTTCTCAGGGCGCAGGGTCTAAGTCCCAATCTGCCTATTCACCAGGGCCCCTGATGGTGGGGATGGACTTGGAGCAGACTGAGGCCAGGTCGCGACCCCTGAGTACTTCTGGCAATGGTAGAGAGCACCATCAGAGGTGTGCGGGGAAAGGAGCCTGATGTGAAGAGGCTGGCAGACCTGGTAACGGACAGATCCATGCAGGATGGATGGATGGATCGTCTGGGTAGCGTAAGGCGTAGTCAGGCAGGCCAGGTCAGCAACGTGGCAGCGGGGTACCGGAGGAGCAGGCAGAGAATGGTCAGGGTCACAAGCCGGGTTCAGTAACTCACGGGCAGCGCGGTACAGAGGATCAGGCAGAAGGATGGTGAGGCAAGCCAGGGGTTAAACAGGAGATGGTCAGCAGGGTCAGGAACAATGCAGAGGTCGGCAACAGAAGATTCACAGGATACCAGGTACAGGGGCTCATGGGAAACAAACACCAAGGCTCTGATTGCAGGCCTGGTCCTGCTTAAATAGACCTCCTGCAATCAGCCTCAGGTGTTGGCTTGATTGCAGGAGGGAGACCCTGGCTGCTGAAAGCACCCTCTGGTAGGAGCTGGTACTGCAGCCCACAGAGCAAGTGAGCCACAGCACCACCAGTGGTGAGTCCATTCCTGACAGCCATAAAGCAGTCCTTCACTGGACTTCAAACACATTTCGGAATAGCCGTAAAACAGACGTCACATTTAAAACCCACTTTTGCATATAATTTCATATCTGAAGATAGGAAATAATTACAATCGAACAAAGCATACTGTATATTTGGATAGCTCAGTTTAATGCGAATCGCCTAATATCTTACCTAGTTGAAGTCTACAGGAGAGCAGAGAGCCATATAGTTCTAGCTGAAATAGTGAAATATGGCATGTTTAATGTCTGGACGTTCAGGATATCATTCTGCATATTAATCTACTAGTGGCTAGGCTGCTACATGCACCTAGGGAAGGTTATTGACCATGATATAAACTGCGAAGGATTTGGTCATAGCCTGAGTTCCCTGCCTAAAACACCCCTCCCCAAATGAGGAGATTGATTCTCTGCTGTAAGGAGACACCCTGGTGGGTTGCTAGAAAACGGTTGTTATGCTTGGAGCAGTAAGATGAAGAGATCTCCTTTTTAACATCAGGAACCAACTTGGGAGACGGTACCCTTTTGTTGAGGAAACTTGATCTGCTTAAACCAAGGCTGGTGGCAAGTATTCTACCTCTCTAAACTTCCATCTGTTATCTCTCTGTTGTGTTATTGCTCTCTGTATTTATATATACAGGTGAAACTCGAAAAATTAGAATATCGTGCAAAAGTTCATTTATTTCAGTAATGCAACTTAAAAGGTGAAACTAATATATGAGATAGACTTATTACATGCAAAGCAAAATAGTTCAAGCCGTGATTTGTCATAATTGTGATGATTATGGCTTACAGCTCATGAAAACCCCAAATCCACAATCTCAGAAAATTAGAATATTATATGCAATCAATAAAACAAGGATTGTACATAGAACAATATCGGACCTCTGAAAAGTATATATGTATATAAAGTATATATACTCAGTACATATTTGCAGCAATTACTGCCTCAATGAGGCGTGGCATGGAAGCTATCAGCCTGCGGCACTACTGAGGTGTTATGGAAGACCAGGATGCTTCAATAGTGGCCTTCAGCTCTTCTGCATTGTTTGGTCTTATGTCTCTCATCTTTCTCTTGGCATTGCCCCATAGATTCTCTATGGGGTTCAGGTTAGGCGAGTTTGCTGGCCAATCGAGCACAATAATTCCACGGTCATTGAACCAGGTTTTGGTGCTTTTGGCAGTTTGGGCAGGTGCCAAGTCATGCTGGAAAATGAAGTCAGCATCCCCATAAACCTCGTCTACGGAAGGACTCTGGACTTAATGAAGCACAGTGGACCAACACCAGCAGATGACATGGCTCCCAAAATCAACACAGACTGTGGAAACTTCACACTGGACTTCAAGCATCTTGCAGTGTGTGCCTCTCCATTCTTCCTCCATACTCTGGGTCCTTGGTTTCCAAATGAGATGCAAAAGTTGCTCTCATCAGAAAAGAGGTCTTTGGACCACTGAGCAACAGACCAGGTCTGTTTTTCTTTAGCGCAGGTAAGACGCTTCTGACGTTGTTTGTTGTTCAGGAGCGGCTTGACAAGAGGAATATGGCATTTGAAGCCCATGTCCAGAATCCGTCTGTGCGTGGTGGCTCTTAATGCACTGACTCCAGCCTCAGTCCACTCCTTGTGAAAGTCCCCATGTGGTGGTTTATGTAATAATTTATTCTAAATACGTAGGGTGGTGTCCTCTCCCTTAAACAAAATATTGCAGTGCCTCCAGCCGTTAAAATACGACAAGTATTTAAGAAACCAATAATTTGGACACCTTAATAATTTGATCACCACTTAATAATTTACCTTGAGTCCTTCTACCAATATGATTTCGTACCATATACACAAATCTTGCCTTTTTGATAAATAAATAAATAGATTTACCGTAGCTGGGTCTGTTTTGCTGTATTTGCTGTTGATGCTGGTGTCGGCTGGGACACCCTTTGAGTTAAGTACAATGAGTACTAAATAAAGATGTTGTTTTAATAATACTGCACCATGAAGCTCTTCTGTTTCTTCCGAGTGTCTGCCATTTCCCTCTTTGGATACGTTTGAAGGTGGCTTTTCTTGAGAAGTGGATTTCCTTGATGATAATTGATTTGAAAGTAATTGGCTCCATCTGAAATTGGTCTATGTGGATCTGGGCTCTGCAGAATACTATTCCTTGAAGATACATCTATGAATGACTTATCATTATTATTAATACTACTGTTCCCAGAGCAATATATGGTTTAAAAATATTTTTTTAGCTCTGGTGAGTTTAAGTTTGGTGGTGGTATTGTCACTTTATATATTTTTTGGTGCACGTTTTTTGTGTTATTAATTTTTTTAAAAAAAGTGTGAACATTTCTTTCATATATATATATTTTTTTTTGCACCATTTATATATTTGATTTATGGAGATAATTTTTTACTAGCGCAAAATACTTTTTTGTATTACCGTATTTTTCGCTCCATAAGACGCACTTTTTTCCCCAGAAAATATGGGGGAAAATGTCTGTGCGTCTTATGGAGCGAATACTGACAGTCCTCCACCTGTCACCGCGGCCGTGTTAGGACCAGCGGCTGTCCCCTCCCACTGCAGCCTGTCCCCTCCCACTGCAGCCTGTCACCAATGCTCTCCCTGCCTTATCCCTTCTCTCTCTGGATACTGACAGTCCTCCACCTGTCACCCCCGCCGTGTTAGGGCCAGCGGCTGTCCCCTCCCACTGCAGACTGTCACTGACGTTCTCCCTACCTTATCCCGTCTCTCAGCGGGCTGTCCCCGCAGCTCTTCATAGTAGGCAGTCCCCCGCCGAACCCAGCTCTGCCGGTCCGCCCTGCAGGTGTGGCCTGTCCTCAGAGCTCCTCCCCGCTCCTGGCATGTCTGTGTACTGCTCTCTGTGCTCTGCAGTCCGGTCCGCAGGTGTGGCCTGTCCTTACAGCTCCTCCCCTTTCCTGGCATGTGTCCATAGTGCGCTCCCTGCTCTGCAGTTTGGTCCTGTCTGCTGGTGTGGCCTGTCCTCGGAGCTCAGTTCACCCCCTGCCTTCTGTAAGTTAAAAATGACATGCTGGGAGTTGTAGTCCTTTTCCTTGATGTATGGTGTCAGATCATTTGATATTCTGGGTGGAGGGGCCCTGTAGGGACTTTATATGATGTAGTATGTCCGCAGTCTCTGGTCATCCCTTGTACTGTGTCCGCAGTCTCTGGTCCTCTCCTGTACTGTGTCCGCAGTCTCTGGTCCTCTCCTGTACTGTGTCCGCAGTCTCTGGTCATCTCCTGTACTGTGTCCGCAGGCTCTGGTCATCTCCTGTACTATGTCCGCAGTCTCTGGTCCTCTCCTGTACTGTGTCCGCAGTCTCTGGTCGTCCCCTGTACTGTGTCCGCAGTCTCTGGTCATCCCCTTTACTGTGTCCGCAGTCTCTGGTCATCTCCTGTAGTATGTCCGCAGTCTCTGGTCATCTGTACTGTGTCTGCAGTCTCTGGTCATCTTCTGTAGTACGTCCGCAGTCTCTGGTCATCTCCTATAGTACGTCTGCAGTCTCTGGTCATCTCCTATAGTACGCCTGCAGTCTCTGGTCATCTCCTATAGTACGTCTGCAGTCTCTGGTCATCTCCTATAGTACGTCTGCAGTCTCTGGTCATCTCCTATAGTACATCTGCAGTCTCTGGTCATCTCCTGTAGTATGTCCGCAGTCTCTGGTCATCTCCTGTACTATGTCTGCAGTCTCTGGTCATCTCCTGTACTGTGTCCGCAGTCTCTGGTCATTTCCTGTAATGTGTCTGCAGTCTATTGGTTCAGAATATTTTTTTCTTGTTTTCTGCCTCTAAAACCTAGGTGCGTCTTATGGTCAGGTGCGTCTTATGGAGCGAAAAATACGGTATTTATGTACAAAATTTATATATATATATAATACAAATGCAAAATACTGGTGATGATTATATACTCGTACACACAATCAAAAATATAATATGCTAATTTCGATATTATCAAAAAATATATGATTTCAATTTAAAGGAAATAAAAAAAATTTTAGGGATCAATTGTAACCTTATAGTGCTTCAGATATTATTTCTCATTTTCCGTGGCCATAGGAAAATAAGAAAGTATCTCTGAAAATTTGCACCACAACAACACTACAAATTAGTTAATATGCAATATATAATCTAATACCAACTTCAAACATTATAGTGATAATTATATATACGACCTTAATATATTCCTAACCACAAAATACAAGGTGATAAATCTTTAGAAAGTTTGAAATGTCAGAGAAAATTTCAATATTCTAGCACAGTCTCACCACTCCCAGAATTTAACTGAGCATCAGCGTCTCTGGTGGAAATCTTTTCCTGCAAAATGGCAGCTGGAAGTTCTCAGCAAAATGGGCGCAGGTAGCAAGTGAGGTATAGTGCAGTATATAGTAGCAACAGGGTAGATTCGAGATAGTTTAGAAGTTATAGCAGTCTTAGAAGCTGTTGCAGAAGTTTTAGCAGATCAGAAGATTGGAAGCTTGGAAGAAATTCAGATGGATGGATCGATGGAATGATGGATGATGGATTGTTGAATCCTTGAATTCTTGAATCCCCTCACTTTGAGGTGTCTGGTCTTTTTAAACTATACCAGACCTTTGTTTCGAGGGACCGCCCAACATACTTGTTGATTGGACAGTTGAACATTTTGCGTACCTAGAGATGTTCCTGATTTATCCACTGGAGACAGTCAAGTATTACAGATGAATTGGTGGTCTTAATGATGATTCATCCTTTGATAGAAACCATATGTCTTGATGTATAAAATATATGTGCTATTCAAGTATAGTTGATTTCACTACTAACTCTTAGATAAGGACCATAGAAAGGTGTGAATACATTTGGTTTCTCATTTTTCTGATACCTAAACTGTATTGGAATGGCTGAGTTCTTTGGAAATAAAGACATTACCTTATTTACAAACTACCTTATCTTTCATCACTTCAACATTAGTTGAGTGGGATGCAATTCCCAACTTTGTTGAATAGATTTGTGTGTGGAAATATACCCTTGATAATATTTCCATTGATATAAACCAAATTTTTCTTTGTACCTTAAATGACCCAGGTTTTACCTTGTGCTGCATATACAGTTCAAGGAGATGTGACATAGGAAATTTCATCCATTGTTGGGTAATTAGGTTAAACAGACTGGACTGGAGTTAAACCTCAGTATTGTGACAGCTCAATAAGTCTTGTTTGGTCATCATACACTTCCCAAGGTTTTGGGAGAGATAAGACAATGAGGATTTCCTCTCACCATTGTCACTTTCAGACCTCGTATATGCTCACCTGCAGACATCCAAATAGTGGTGTTTGAATCTCATTGTCTCTTAAACAAGTCTCTTCCACTCATTGCTTATGTGTGGTAACCTCTTGAAATATCCCTTGAAATTCACTCTAGCATGTTAACCCCTGACAGTCAGCTAGGATTCCCAAATTTGGAATAATATAAATTTTTTTATAAACAGTTCCAAAAGTCATTAAATATCCCCCTTTTTTGAGATATAACACGTATAGATAGGTGTATGTATCGCAAATCGTGAGTGTGACTTTTGATTAAAGCGACCATTGATCTTCTCCGGAAACACCAAAGTTATGCTGTTACACAGTTAATATTTATGTTAATGTACATGAGAATTCATATAGTTTATTCTTTGTACCATTTCCTATCGATATTTCTATAGTTAGTTATATGCTGCCATCCAGTGCCTTATTTGGTAATGCATTTGTTTTTCATATTGCCTCCCTGAGATCTATGACACAGTTCCTTTGTATATGAAGCTCCTCCCTTCTTCTTGAGTACAGCACTTCCTGTGTCATGGAGGCAGCTAACAGTCCACATGTAACAGGGACACATGTATTCTGCATAGTACGCTACAGAAAGTATCATCTTTTGACCGCATAATACTGGAAACCATTCATTCTGCTGTATCCTGTTGTCACATGTACAGAATAAAGCAACTTCTGGATGAACACAGTATTGGTGTGTTCAGCTATCTGATAAGGATTGCCCACAGTGATTATATCTGCTTACACAGGCTAGGCACAGAGGTCTCACAAGGGATAAATCGCTATCACAACAATCTGAGTCAGAATAAAAGTTCTTAAATTTTAGTGATCATTCTTAAGAGTCATTTAGATGGTGTGATTGGGTAAAGGATAATTTTCTCGATGGTACTTTTGGAATTAAGTGGTCTTTTGATGATGAAATGGCAGCGGGCAATGCTGGGTTTATCTGTACATTGAACTCAGGCGCTTCTCGGACGAATATTCCTGACGACGATCCTGGTTTTGCGATGAGCCCGGCCTGGCCTAGTGGAGACACCCACATCAGGGTCCATAGGATCCTCCGCACAACGGGTCTTCTGAGACGGTCTCGTAGGCGGGTTTCTTCCTCTGGACTGGCCCTTAGTGATCTGGGACATCAGGTTGTCATCTCCGGATCGATCGCTGGCAATCTGGTCTTTCCCACAGGACATCAGGTGGCTACCTGAGCTTCCTTCTAGGGTCTGGTCATTGACACCTCCGATCGCCGGTCTGGTTATCGTCTGGGCCTTCATTACTAAATGAATCCAGGAAAACTTTCTGGTTGTCCTATCTCATATGCCTCTTCAAGTTTTGTGGTGAGGTCATTGAGTGTGTAATGTGTGTTCTCCTGCCATCCAGGTTCCTTGGGGTACTCTTGTTCTTTGATTGGTTGATCAAAGACAATTGATGTCTCTTCAATTCTACAGGTACCATCTTTAGATCCGAAGGGATAAATGGACTCTACGGTGAAGATACCCTCTGGTAATAAATGGAACGATTGTTCAATTAATTGTTCCTCTGATAAATATTCATTGGGGATGAGTCCAATGCCCTGGTTAGTGACTCAAAAAGTGTGATACTCGGTCTCTACCGCCAGACCAATGAGGGTCTCCTTGGGTAAGAAGATGTCCTGATTGGAGAGATTATGTACGTAAATGTACATTGGGGATGTGTGTTGACTAGGGGTGTATGTGTAATGTTCAGTCCTTCCCCCTGCATTTTATAGGAGAGGCATACTAATACATCTGACCCCTTTAGTCTATGTCCCTTTTTAACTTGGATGGGGAGTATGAAATTATTTATGTCCTTAGGAATTGTAATTCTTTGGGCTACCTGGACTTCAACAGCATAAGGCATCTGTTGCTGAAATTTTAATGCTAAGTCCAGATCTTTTTATCTCTCGGGGTCCCCCTTTAGTCGACTCCATAATCAGTCATTAATTAGGTCGACTTGAGTTGCAAAGCAATGTAACACATCATTGCCAAAATAAATTTTATTTTGGGGATTATCCAAGACTAGGAACACATGGGTGGCTGTCTTATTCCCTATAGTGACATTTAAGAGACACCTAGCTATTGAATTATAATTCATCAGAATTATCAATGGAGTCTGAAATCCATTGACCTATTAAGACCATTTATCCGGATAGGGATAAATAAATTACTGTTAACCCTTTCAATACCTGTCAAGAATTGGGCGTGATTTCCCCCTTTTCTTGGTTTATCCTCCTGATGAAAAAATATAGTAAGGATATCATCTTCAAGGGAAATATCTTTTATTTTATTTCGGGGAATTCTAAAAATATGATCCTCATCTCTTCTGGTAGGGTTATGGTCATCAGGTTGGATAACCATGACATCAGGAAGTTGACTATTCCTGAAATGGATTTCCAAGGAACCAGGCCTTTCTTCCACCAGGTGGCAGTGTTGCCGGGAATGGGGAGTTTTAAGTTTCCCATATTTATTCGGGGTAATTACTTGTGACCACAGTACTTGGTTCACACAGTCAGCTATTGTGTTCAGCCTTTTAAGGAAGTCTATCCCGATTATCATGTGGTGCTGGGAGATATTGACAATGATAATGGGGTGGAGAGAAAACAGGTGGCGCACACACCTAGTGCATTATCCAAGGTTTATTGTAGGAATTAAATCATAAAAACATACTCACAGACCAAACATGTATCTAAGAAGCATAGAAAAATGACAATGGCCACAACGGCGGGCAAGGTGTTCTCACTGTCAGTGCGGTCAAATGACTGACGCATTTCGGGGACGAATCCCTTTCCTCAGAGCTGATGACCAACCTCTGATGCTGATGTATGATGAATGGAAAGTAAAGTAAGAGCCTCGCTGTTGATGCTCCATTAGCTACTCTGTCATGTGTAGGTCAAAGAATGGCCTGCCCTATACCATTGCGCAAACAAAGTGCCGAAAAAGTGCAAAACAACGAGCGTTAGCATGACAGAAAGGTGGGAATGGGGACTCAAACCAAAAAGAGGGACACCTGAGGCTTCTCGAGGCACATGAGGGATTTGTTCTCAAAAGAGGGACAGTCCCTCCATCTGACGGACAGATGAAGTTATGCTTATACTGAAAAAAGTCCCATCTCCAGTAATACTGTCTATATTCCTGGTGCCCACAGGCTGTTGGACACCACACACAACGCAGCGGTGACAGCCCGGTACTGGGCACTGGAATTCTCTGTGCTCCAGCATCAGCACTGAAAGAGAGAGACTGTACTGTGGGTGCAGTTATTTTAAAAAGCGTGAATGAATGTCGGCAACAAAGTGGAAAGTACATAAATCTTTTTTATTGAAAACGAGCAGTAAAATGTTCCAAAGCATGACCCACGCTAACGTGAGTCAGTCTAGAAAAGACCTTATTCATAGCCATGGCTATGAATAATGTTTTTTCTGGACTGAAACGCGGTAGCATGGGTTGTGCTATGGAGCATTTTTACTCCTCGTTTTGAATAAAGAAGATGTAATTTACTTTCCACCTTTGTTGCCAATATTCGTTTACAAGCATGTATTGGTGTGGCTTATAGTCACATGCCCCGCTGCACAAGTAGAGACCGAGCTCGGCAGTACACTGATCATCTCAGTTTGGAACTGCACATGCGCAGTTTCAAGTCGCCAAACAAGGACAATGTTTTAAAGTGTTTCATTGCTAGCCTGCCTGCTTCCAAGTTGCAACTGGGCCCTGACGTTCTGCCACCATGCAGGGGCCCCAAGGCGGCAGGAAGGGGGCACACTGCAGAACATGAGAAAGGGCCCTGAGATGGGGTCACGGATCCCTTCATGGTTTCTTGTGCCTGGGCCCTGAAAGTTCTAGTTGCGCCTCTGTTCAGAACACAAAATAAATGCATGTACACACATGAAAACCTGACAATGTTATGAACCCATTTAGAATGTAAATCAGTACTGCCTTATCCCCATAAGTATTTTATATCTGTTTTTAATCCACCTTAAGAATAGAGCTGAGAGGAGTATGTAGAAAAGTGTAAAAAATGGACATTTATGTTTATAAGAGAAGCAATAATGTTCCTCTAAACTTTCTGGGATATAATTTTCAATCACATTGTCTCCTTCTCTTTCCTTTTGGTAGGTCTTTGGGGGCTAGTGAATAATGCTGGAATTTTAATCCCTATGGCCCCCAATGAATGGCTGACTAGGGCAGATTTTCGCAAGGTACTGGACGTCAATCTCCTGGGGATGGTAGATGTTACAATCAACTTGCTTCCTCTTATCAGAAAATCCCAAGGACGCATTGTCAATGTATCTAGTATTGCAGGAAGGGTAACACTGTGTGGAGGTGGTTACTGCTTATCCAAGTATGGAGTAGAAGCTTTTTCTGACAGCCTAAGGTAATTTGTTTAATTTCAAGAGTCCATATGTTTCATGTCACAATATATCTTGGTGAACCCACAACAGGGTAAGCAACTGAAAGATTTTCCAAATGCTATTTTTTTACAATTTAATATCTGTAGGACCAGCAATGCTAAATAAACTGCTGGTACTTAGCACTAAAAATATGTAAAAGGAAAATTAAATGTGTATGCAATATTTATGGTGTGTGTATGCAGAGGAAAGGTTAAACTAAGAAGCAAGTGAATGTTGGCATTTCATCCACTACATTGCATGTATTTTACATGTGGTAAAGGAAAGCCCACTTGATGTACTAACATCAAGTAGAAGACGGAATAAAATACGTGTGGCTCACAATTTCTTGACATTTTATATATATATATATATATATATATATATATATATATATACACAAACTGTACATACATACATACATATATACACTCATTGGCTAGTGCCAAGAAAATATCCCCCACACCATTGCACCACCATCATTAGCCGTTGATACAAGGCAGGATGGATCCATGCTTTCATGTTGTTTACACCAAAGTCTGACCCTACCATCTGAATGTCGCAGCAACCAGTCTACCCATTCTCCTCTGACATCAACAAGGCATTTTCATCCACACAACTGCCATTCTCGGTAAACCCTAGAGATGGTTATGCGTGAAAATCCCAGTAGATCAGCAGTTTTTGAAATACTCAGACCAGCCGGTCTGGTACTAATAACCGTGCCATGTTCAAAGTCACTTAAATCCTTTTTCTTCCCCATTCTGATGCTCGTTTCCAACTTAAGCCAGTTGTCTTCACCATGTCCACATGCCTAAATGCATTGAGTTGCTACCATGTGATTGGCTGATTAGCGACTTGTGTTACCAAGCAATTGAACAGGTGTACCTAATAAAGTAGCCTCATCACCACCATACCAGTTTCCTGATCACCGCCATACCCCAAACCAACACCCTGATCACTGCCATATACCATACCAGCACCCTAATCACCTCCATACACCATACCAGCACCCTGATCACCGCCATACCTCATACGAGCATCCTGATCACTGCTATACTTCATATCAGCATCTTGATCACCGTCATGCCCTATACCAGCATCCTGATCACCGCATATGCCATACCAGCGTCCTGATCACCACCATACCACATACCAGGATTTTGATCACCGCCATACCCTATGCTAGCATCATGATCACAGCCATACCCCGTACCAGCATCCTGATCACCCCCATAACAGCATCCTGGCTACTGCCATACCAGCTTCCTGATCACCGCCATACCTCACACTAATGTCCTGATCACCGTCATACCCCATACCAACGTACCAACGTCCTGATCACTGCCATATGCCATACCAGCAGTGGTGTATTTAGGTTTTGTGCTGCCTTAGGCAACACAAAAATTGGACGACCGCCCCCGCGGAGAGAGGCTGAGAATGACCAACAACACCCTTGCCCCCCCACCTGAGGGAGCCTTGCACTAACAGACATATCCCCCCCATTGAGAGAGAGAGAAAGACACTCACCTTCACAGCTACAGACATCCCTGGGAATGAGAGTCGGGCTCTGCATACACCATCAAGCAGCCCGTAGCCTCACTCGGATCCCACCTGGTTCCCATGCCGCATGTGTTCCTTCTTCTGACCATTTTTCTGAGGGGCAGTGCAAATGCCTTGTTTGCCTTGTGGTAAATACACCCCTGCATACCATTTTAGGATCTCAACTGATCAATTTTCCAATATATATCCCATAGTTTGTAGACTCTATAGCTTTCACACAAAATAAATAATATAATGTGTTTGGGGTTATTTTTGCCCCCAAAATGTAGCAGAATACATTTTGACTAAAATGTATGAAGAAAAAATATCTATTTGCAAAATTGTATAACAAAAACTAAGCAAAAAAATGTTTTTTTCTTTTCCAAATTTTTTCATTTATATAGCAAAACATTAAAAACCCAGTGGTGATCAAATACCACCAAAAGAAAGTTCTATCTGTCTCAAAAAAAGGATAAACATTTCATATGGATACAGTGTTACATGACTGAGTAATTGTCACTCAAAGTGTGATAGTGCTGACAGCTGAAAATTGGCCTGGACTGGAAGGGGGTGAAAGTGTCCAGACTTGAATTGGTTTAAAGCAACCTGACAAGAAAAAAAAGGTCTTCAAAGAGAACTGTGGGATTGCTTTTTTTTTTCCATCATACTTACCTAGGTGCAGGGGCAGACTGACCATTTGGAAACTCGGGCACCACCCGAGGGCCCGGGGTCAGTATGGGGCCCCATGAGATGCCCCTGGTACCTTTTTCACAGGCTTTTTTGAGTTTGGGCAAGGGCACAGGGGCCCCATGATCCACTATTGCCCGGGGGCCCCATGAGTTGTCAGTCCGCCCTTGCCTAGGTGGATGCAGCATCGGACCGATGCTGCATCTATCCCCTGCCGGCTCTAAGGGTGAGAACTCAGAGATCACATGACCACTTATTGCTGAGTTCTCGCAGCACTTTGAGCAGAGAGCCATTGCTGTCAGTCACTGCTGAAGCCCGCTGTCAGGTGAAAAAGGGGTCACAGGAGTGCAGAACAAACTGCACTCCTGTGATTCACAGGAGAAGTATAGCCAAAAGAGCTTTGGCTGTACTTCTCCTTTAAATAAAATGCTGCTCTGTGTAACTCCTCATTAATCCTTAAACCAGAGCTTCACCTAAAAGGGGAAGTTCCGCTTTAAGGACTGCTCCCCCGCTCCTCATTAAGGATTGGCACCTTTAGGGGGCGGGGGGAAGCGGGTACCCGATTTTGACAGGTACCCACTCCTACTTCCGGTCCGATCGCCTAGGTGACCGGAAGCGGAAGGTGTCCTCCCTCCCTCCCTCCCTGTAGTCTATTGGGACACGTGACAGGTCCCAGAAGACTAAAGGAACATTCATGAAGCGCAGCGCTACTCGCACATGCGCAGTCGGTACCCGGCTGTGAAGCCGCAAGCTGTCACAGCTGGGTGCCCACACTGAAGATGCCGGCCTCCTGGAATACAGGACGGCTGGTGAAACTGGCTGTGGGACACACCCGGCAGGACCGAGGGACAGGTAAGTGGCTGTTTTTTAAAGGTCAGCAGCTACAGTTTTTGTAGCTGCTGACTTTTATTTTTTGACAGTGTAAGCAGAACTCTGCTTTAATATACTTTTATCAGCCCTAATTACCTCCTTATTCTCCTTACCTATTCAATTATTATTTTCCTGCTGATTTTATTTGTTGTTCGCATCTATTTTATTAAACATGAATATTTGAACTTCGTTAGTTTTATTAATATTTTTACACATTTAATATACTGTATTTTTTCGCTCCATAAGACGCACTTTCCCCCCCCCTCCAAAAAATGGGGGAAAATGACTGTGTGTCTTATGGAGCGAATATGGAGCAGCCGGCTTGGTATTTCCCCCCATTGCCACCGCCGTTTTAGAATACTGTGCAGAAGAACCTGCTCCTCGGTCCTACCTGTTTCTCTGTCCAGCGGTGTCCTGCTTTCACCGGCCATCTTCTCTCCCTGGTGCCGCATCTGCAGTGTGGGCGCCCCCAGCTGTGACAGGGTACCTGTCAAATTCTGGTACCCCCTCCCCCCCTCCCCAAAGGTCTGCAGTCTCTGGTCATCTCCTGTACTATGTCCGCAGTCTCTGGTCATCTCCTGTACTATGTCAGCAGTCTCTGGTCATCTCCTGTACTATGTCAGCAGTCTCTTGTCATCTCCTGTAGTATGTATGCAGTCTCTGGTCATCTCCTGTACTATGTCTGCAGTCTCTGGTCATCTCCTGTACTATGTCTGCAGTCTCTGGTCATCTCCTGTACTATGTCTGCAGTCTCTGGTCATCTCCTGTACTATGTCTGCAGTCTCTGGTCATCTCAAGTACTATGTCTAAAGTCTCTGGTCATCTCATGTATTATGTCTGCAGTCTCTGGTCATCTCCTGTACTATGTCTGCAGTCTCTGGTCATCTGTAGTATGTCCGCAGTCTCTGGTCATCTCCTGTACTATGTCTGCAGTCTCTGGTCATCTGTAGTATGTCCGCAGTCTCTTGTCATCTGTAGTATGTCCACAGTCTCTGGTCATCTGTAGTATGTCCGCAGTCTCTGGTCATCTGTAGTATACCCGCAGTCTCTGGTCATCTCCTGTACTATGTCCACAGTCTATGGTCATCTCTTATGTACTATGTCTGCAGTCTCTGGTCATCTCCTGTACTATGTCCACAGTCTATGGTCATCTCCTGTACTATGTCTGCAGTCTCTGGTCATCTCCTGTACTATGTCTAAAGTCTCTGGTCATCTCACGTGCTATGTCTGCAGTCTCTGGTCATCTCCTGTACTATGTCCACAGTCTATGGTCATCTCTTGTACTATGTCTGCAGTCTCTGGTCATCTCCTGTACTATGTCTGCAGTCTCTGGTCATCTCCTGTACTATGTCCGCAGTCTCTGGTCATCTCATGTACTATGTCTAAAGTCTCTGGTCATCTCATGTATTATGTCTGCAGTCTCTGGTCATTTCCTGTACTATGTCTGCAGTCCAACATTAAAAAAACCCACTTTATTTAGTGTAAATATCTTTGTAACGCTTTGTACCAGATTCATAATATCAGTGTAATTTTAAACAGGACAAACTATAGAATAAAATGTGCACTTGTTATCTGCTGTAACACTATTTTTAAACTAACACTGCTCAAAAAAAGAAAAAGTGCATATTGTTTAGTTTTTGACGTTTAATTGATTAAGGAAAATAAAAAATAACTCTTGCAAAACAATAATTACAAAAAAAAAGCTTTGTTTAAAAAAAAAACGAAAGCACATGTATTACCTCGTTATCTTAAGCCTAGTACACAGGATGAGAAAATCGGACAAACAAAAACATGTTCGGAACGATCGTCCAATAATCTGATCGTTAGTACACAGCTTTCGAAAGCTGATCACGACAGTTCACTGAAAATATCCAAAGGCACAAGCACAAAAATCTTTCTTGCAAGATAACAGAACAAACAATTTTCATGTAATTAGTATAGTATTTGCATGAAAAAAAAATTAAGTGACCAAGACCACGCATGCTCAGAAATGAAAGAATACATTACAATACAACACATTACATCACTTCTGAAGTCATCTTACAAGAAATTGAGTAACCTATTCATTTTTGATATGAGACTAGCAGGCCAAAAAAAAAAAAAACAGATGACCATCTGTCTGATATTCTCATTGTCGTGTATACCAGGCTTTAAAGTGATATTAAAGGCATTAGAAACATTAAAAAGTGACAGCAGGAGAAGACCAAGTGGTCCATTGAGTTTGCCTGAGTTTTTTTTTTTGTGTGTATGTGTATTTGTCTTGGGGGGGGTTGTTTTTTTTTTTGTTAACTTTTTTTGGTCTGAGTATAGATGTGGCTCACTACCTCTGCTGGAAGAGTATTCCAAGCATCAACTACTCTTTCAGTAAAATAGTACTTTCTGAGATTAGTTTTGAACTACTTTCCTCCAGTTAGTTTAAGATCATGTCCCCATGTTCTTGATTTTGGTTTCATGTTTAAAATACTACCCTACTGAACTTTATTCACCCCCTTGATTTATTTAAAGGTTTCAATCACGTCTCCCCTTTTCCTTCTTTCCTCCAGATTGTACATGTTAAGTTTCTGAAGGTGCTCTTGATATGTTTTACTTGATATGTTTTATTCCCTAGAACTTTCACTATTTTTCTTACCCGTCTCTGGACTCATTCTATCTTATCAATATCTTTTTGTAAGTGAGGTCTCCAGAACTGGACATAGTATTCTAAATGAGGTATAACTGAAGATCTATATAGGGGAATCAGGACCTCCTTCCTCCTGCTGGTGACCCCACTAGTGATGCATCCTAGAATTCTATTTGCTTTCCCTACTGCCTGGCTACATTGTTTGCTCATTTTGCAATCATCTGAAATAAGTACCCCCAAGTCTTTTTCCTCTGAAGTGCCATCCAACAATATACCCCAATGTTGTACTCTCTCAAGGGATTATTTTTCCCTAGGTGCATTATTTTACATTTAGAAACATTGAACTGCAATTTCTACTTGTTTGTCCAATCTTCCAGCAATGCCAAATCATGGTCCATGTTACAGACACCTCCAGGGATATCAACCCTATTACACACCTTTGTGTGATTAGCAAAAAGACATACCTTACCCAACAAACCTTTAGTTATATCACTTAAATATAGATTAAATAGAACCGGACATGGTACAGAGCCTTGGGGTACACCACTAGTGACTGGTCTCTTTTCTGAGTGAACCCCATTTACAACAGCACTCTAGTATCTATCCTTTAGCCAGCTGCATATCCACTGAACCACCCAAAGGCTAAGTTCTAGCTTGTACAACTTTTGTATTGGATCATTATGTGGAACTGTATCAAATGCCTTGCTGAAATCAAGATATGCTATGTCCACAGCACCACCCTGGTCCAAAACATTGGTAATATAGTAAAAAAAAATAATCAGATTAGTCTGACATGATCTGCACTCAGTAAAGCCATTCTGCTTTGGATCCAACAAGTTGTGTGTTTTTAAGTATTCAATTATCCTTCTTTTCAGGGGTGATTCCATTAACTTGACTACATTTTTTGTAATAGCAAACATGTCATACTTACCTGCTCTGTGCAATTGTTTTGCACAGAGCTGCCCTGATCCTCCTCTTCTCAGGTCCCACGCCGGTGTTCCTAGCCTCTCCCTCCTTCCTAGTGCCCCCAGAGCAAACAGCTTGTTATGGGGCACCCCGAGCATGCTTGATCCTGAGTAGCTGCTCTGTCTATCCATTCAGACACAGAGTGCAGCTCGGACCCGAACCCCATTCTTTCCTTCAGTGGCTCACTGGCTGTGATTGACAGTAGTGGGAGCCAATGCATGAAGGTAAAAAAAACCTTGTGCCTTTACAACCACTTTAAGTAATGAAAAAGTTATCACAGAATAAACAGGTCTATATCAGAAATGTAAAAGTGGCTCTGGTACATTAAGGGTGAATAGGTGTGAAAGGCGAAGTGATAATGGGGGTCATTAATGAACAGTATGAGTATCTTTCATAAAAGGTGTATGAATATCTTAAAATGTGATTCCTTACAGGTACCGGGCGGACTGACCATTTGGAAACTCGGGCACTGCCCGAGGGCCCGGGATCAGTAGGGGGCCCCATGAAATGCCCTTGGTACCTTTTTCATAGGCTTTTTTGAGTTTGGGCAAGGACACAGGGGCCCCATGATCCCCTATTACCCAGGGGCCCCATGAGTTGTCAGTCCGCCCCCGACAGGTACAGTATGTCTATTTCATCTAAGAAGTTGGTGAATGATTCCACCATACATAATTCCAACAGATATGTTCTATTTTTATCAGAGGTTTCCGATTTCTCCAGGACAAAAACATACGTTTGACAGAAAATCATTGTTTTTCTACTAACTGACTAATCTACAATTTAATCAGAAGAAATACGAGAATAATAGCACATTGGTATTTTCACTATGAAAAATATTTTACATAAATCAAAACCAAATGTAAAAATCTTTTATGGACAGAGATCTAGCAACAACAATAAGGACATTTTTAAACTACCTGTCCAAATTCGGTAAATATATTTCAAAGGGTAAAAGAGAACATATTTGAAAATAACACAATCAGGCTTAAAAAACCAAATGTGTTTTAAATCATTACTTGAAACAGCTATGTGGCCTTGTGACATAGACCACCATTTTCTTATATGATCTCTTTATGTACATTTTTATTTGGTGAATCATAGGTCTCAGAAGGTTTGTGTAAAAAAAAAACCTGTATTTTACTTCATAAATTGAATTTATTGTAATTGTCTTTAGAGACCATGTAAATAAATAAATTAAAACAATAAAAGCAGATTGTTAAAAATTTGAAAAAACATAATCTTTTCAATATACAGTATGACCACATTTCAATGCCTTTTTTTATTCATGAATTTGTAGGAGGGAGCTCAAGCCTTTTGGAGTGAAAGTTTCCATCATTAATCCTGATTTCTTTAGAACATCAATTCTGATTTCCGAAGTAATAAAAGCCCGTGTCACAGACATTTGGAAAAAAACTGCCTCTGAACCTAAAAAATGCCTATGGGGAAAAGTATTATCAACAATGTAAGTAATAAAGACTTAAAATATATAAAATCTCATTGCGTGGGTGCTGTATAACATTAATTAATATTTACTTCTGATAGTTATGTAGAAGACTATGCAAAACACTGCTAGAAAGTAAAATGGCACTCACAAGTAGAAAACCTTTTATCTACGATTTGCCAGGTTTGGATGACATTCAAGGTAACAGAAAAAAAAATGCACATCGTTGAGACACAAACATTGAAGAAGAATGACAGATCAATTTCTGTAGGCATCATCAATACTGTACTTTTTATCTATAGCCATGTCTGAATTGAAAGTACAGGTAAAGCTTACCAAAATGACAGCGTAGATGCAAGTGAGGAGTCAAGTTGAAAGCCAGGTCCATTTTTGGCAAAGTAATCACCTGTCATGGGGGAAATGGACAGGGGGTCATAGTCCTTCACGCTAGTAGAAGGGCTATGTACACTTTATACTGTATATATATTTACAGTATATAGAAGTTGTTTTAGGTTGGTGGCCCTGAGTGGAGATACTTCAGCATTCAGATATCTAAAGCAAGATCCACAGTCAGAGACAAATGCTGTGCATTATATAGCTTCATCTTGTACATCCTTTAGACCTAGGATTACAGTGTTTGGCAAAGGGAAGTCTTCTACAACCAACCAACAACACACACCTATGACAGTGCCTACTAATCAACTAGGTACTATGGCATGCTTTGCATGGTACACTTTTTTAGCCAAAATTAATTGGTTTAATTCTTAGGCTAATGTTCCTCCCTGTCACCTGTTTAAACAGTGCGCCTCATAATTGACAGGGTGGACCTTAAAATAAGGCTAAAAATATAAATACTATTTATAATGAATTTATACTTTTATTTTAAGAGGTCTATTCTTTAGACCTTGAAGAAAGGGAGATGCAGAAGATAAAGACTAAGGGAAATTTAGTTCGAAATTATGCTGATCAGCCTATATCTAATATGGCAACCCTCTGAACCAAAAGCACTCTCCATTGATAGGAACAGAAAGCATAGGTCATCAGTTCCCAGTGAGTAACATTTATGTTGCTGTTGTGTCCAAATATTAGAATGATTTCTAAAACATAGTATTCCCTATTATTCTCGACAACTTACCAGCCTTTCTGCACAGAAACCTAGGGCCATGGGACCATAGGGCCATCCTGGAATTGTGGTCTTCAAAAATCATCAACCTAAATTGCTTTTGCATGAAATTATTTTTTGTCTGGAATCAACAAAGAAAAAATAATTGACTACTGCTCAGTGGCAGAAAAATTTAAAAAAAAACAAAAAACAACAAAATAGTATTTCAGGTGACAGCAGCCACTACAGAACTTCTTAGAATTCACTTCCTAGTAATGAACATTGTTAGCAAGTCATTCGTATACAAACCTTTTATATCTGGTCTAATGAAAGATATTAAAGGGAAGTGTTTTTTTTTTCTTTACAGATTGTGGATTTGTTAATAAGCTATGTTCCATGACCAACCCAAAAATCACAGTTGTTACAGATTGTATGGAGCATGCGCTAACTGCAGTGCACCCATGGACACGTTACTCTGCTGGCTGGTATGCCAAACTGATCTATATGCCCTTGTCTTATCTTCCCTCATGTGTGGCAGATTCTTTTCTCGACTCCTCCCCAGATCTACCTAAATGAGAAACTATGAAGCATGAAGAAAAGCTTATCCAACCTTCCAAGGCAATGGAATCTTTTTAAGATCTATTTTACTTTAATCAACCACACATTTCTATTAATGTGACCTTGCACCCATCATACTTTATCTATATCAATCTCTCTCTCTCTCTTTCTCTTTCTCTTTCTCTTCTTTCTCTCTCTCTCTGAATGTGTATGTATACACACACACACAGTGCTCAGCATAAATGAGTACTCCCCAACAAATTTGTCAGAAAACCTTTCCATTCCTTTCAGAATCAACATGGGACACTATACTACAAAATACTCCTACAAATGTGGGCCATTGATTCCAACAAGATTTGTTAATTTGCACACACAAAAAAGTATTTTTCCTAACAAATTCATTCCAGACCATGTTGCAAAGATGAATACAGCCCAATGACAGTCTTAGGAGCAAAGCTAAATTTTAGATAAAATCCTAATTAACAAGAATTCAACTTATTCATTAAACGGGTGTCCAGCAGACAGTTGGTTATAAAAGGGCATTACTTAACAAAGAAAACCCCTTCCCATTTAATGTTGTCAGCAATGGCACCACATGGAAGAGAAATGTCACAAGGCCTGAGAAAGAAAATAAGTTATTTACACAAGAAAGGTGAAGGCTACAAAAAGGTCAGCAAAGCTTTACTTATCAGTTAAAATACTGCAGCAAAATTGATACAAAAAATGTAACAAAGATGGAACTGCAACCTTCTCACAGAGATATCCAGGCTGTCTACTGAAGTTAACACCTAGACAGGAGAGTCTTCTGATGAGAAGGGTTGAAGAAAATTGCCTTGCAAGTTCACTGCAGTTACCTAAAGAAGTAGAAAACCATACTGGGGTGGTTGTTTCCCGTGACACAATACGTACACTGCAGAGGAATGGCATGCATGGGTGTCTTCCACGAAGGAAGCCTCTCCTAAATCTCCTAAAGCTCATGCACAAAAAAGCCCACCTAGAATTTGCCAGGGCCCATGCTGAAAAAGAAGAAGACTACTGGGACTCTGTACTCTGGAGTGATGAGACTAAGGTAAATGTTTTTGGAACTGATGGCTTCAAAACTGTATGGCGTCACAAAGGTGAAGAGTACAAAGAAAAATGCATGGTGCCTACAGTGAAACATGGTGGTGTCCTTCTATGGTGCTGTATGAGTGCTGCTGGTGTCAGGGAGCTGCATTTCATTAATGGTATCATGAATTCACAGATGTACTGCTCTATATTGAAAGAGATGATGCTATCATTACTCCGTGCCCTTGGTCGTCATGCACTTTTCCAACATGACAATGATCCAAAACACACATCTAAGGCCACTGTTACATTTCTGAAGAACAGGGTGAAATTCATTCAGTGCCAAGTATGTCTTCTGATCTGAAACCAATCGAACACCTAAGGGGAGTTCTGAAGAGACAAGTTGATCATCACTCTCCATCCAGCATCCAGGTTCTAAAAGAGGTCGTTCTTGAAGAATGGAAAAAGATATTGCAATATGTCGCCAACGTGTTCATTCTATACCTAGAAAACTTGGTGCTGTCCTTAGAAATCATGGAGGTCATACAAAATACTGGATGGAGTAGTTTTTTTGTGTGGTGCATTCATTTTTGTATCAACTAATTTGAGTAAAACTGAAGATTATGTAAGCTAAGTTATATTATTAACCTTACTTTCATGTAATGAGCTAAACAAATGTTCTATAAAACCCCAGTTTTGTCAAAATTTTGGAAATTGTTCTTGTGAGATATTGATTAAAATCTTACTTTCAAAGGGGCGTGCTCATTTATGCAGAGCAGTGTGTGTGTGTGTGTATATAAAAATCACCCCCCCCCCCCCCATGCATTACATTGTAACACATAGCACTTCGACATATGTTTTAATATATAAAATGCATGAATTGAACACACTTGAAGCATCTCTGTGCCTCCTCAGGGTTATTTCCTTACAATACAGATTCAATTTTTGTTGTATCCATAGGGATTATTGGAACTGGCATTCAGTATCCATCTGAGACCGTTATACAGTAGTAGATCTGCACTGATGCCAATTATCAATGGTTGGAAAACCCTAACACTAAGAACTTTCATAAGTTCATAAGTTCAGTGACATAACTGACTTTATTTTATTGTGTATGTGTTCCAACTTTCTATGGTGAGAAAGAGAAACACCTTCTAGAAGAGTATGTCGGTTGAAGACCCAGCCACACTCAGTTATACAGAGGATGAGGAAATCATGTGCACCAAAATTGGTGACAAACTCACTAATATGTTTTTCTCACTAAATATACGAAAGGAAAGTCAATGATGTTAGAAGGATTGCCTAAAGCAGGGTTTTTCAACTGGGGTTCTGAAATTTCTTTTGCAGTTGCCACCCCCACCCTCCAAAAGCTGCAGGCTGTGTAAGAACTCCTCATCTCCAGAAATCAGAAACTATAGCTAGCTAAAGACAGACCAGCAAGATTTTGGTCAGTGTGTGTCCATCCCTGATTGATAGTAGTCGATCATCTGATTGACATCTGTTGAAGGGACATGCTGGGAAACATTTGCAGGAGCCGCTGTCAAATACAACATCTCAGTGGAGGGGATTTCTCCATCCACCTCATATGTGTAGTTGGCACAATCTGTCTGTCATATACTAACCTTTTATATCTGGTCTATGAAAGATATTAAAGAGAAAAGTTTTTTTTTTTCTTTTTAACGATTGTGAATTTGTCAATTAGCTATGTTCCATGACCAACCCAAAAATCACAGTTGTTACAGATTGTATGAGTACCTAAGAATAGAATCTTAGGTCTGTTTTAACTAACAGACTTTTCTTTGTTCCCACATATTATTTTAAAGGATAAGTTTCACCATTACAAACATAAACAAAAAAAATAAATGTGCATATTTTTGCAGGTAAACAAATATGCTTTTAATATTTTTCTTTGTTAGGAGCCTGTAAAGCATTGCACCCATGAGCAGCAGATCGTGGGTGTAATGCTAAAGTACTGCAGATTGTCTGTATATTTGTCTGCCCGTACCTCTGATACAGGCAGGCACTTACACAATGACAAGAAGCTCAGTGAACTACCTAGAAAGCTCAACAGTGCTCTGGTAGTTAATTGAGAACTATAAGCCGACAGCCGCAAAGGCTGTCAGAACTTGTAGTTTTCCTTTTCATAGAATACTGTGAATGAATGATGGGGCCGGGCGGGCAGAACCCTGCATTGCCCTTTTTTTCAAACTTTGACAGCCAGAGCAGGGAGAAGATCCCCTGCTAGCCGTCAAAACAGGGGAGCGGAGGCCAGTGCATCTCCAACATGTTACATTTTATACCCTGAATATGGGTGTAACCAGGGCCATGGATAAGGGGATACCACAAGTCCTCCTGTACAGGGCCCAGGCCAGCAGGGGGGCAAAGGCAGCTACATGAATTGGATGTGGGCAGGGAGGGTGGACGGCAAGGTGATGGTGGTTGGGGGGCTATTTCTGGAACTGATCCGCTGTATGGCTCTCTTTGCAGCAGATGAAAGCTGGATTCTTCTCCTCTCTCCTTTAGCTGGCTTTAGCTGGCAAAGGGCTTGCTTTTAGCAAAGGGCTTGGTGCACATGTTGTGATGTCTCTGTTTTTTTTTTTTCTATTATTAAAGTAGAACTCCAACCACAAATAATGAGATAAAAATGAACAGCCCATTTAAGATAAAATAACAAAAACACAAAAACAGCTGCAATATTCAGCATCATTTCACAGATTTCCACCTTTTTTAGTCCTTTTTTCTTCCACTAGATGCCTCAGTCTGATGGACAGCATCATTCAACCCAATTCCTTTTGAGCCTTAGCAGCCTAGAGCCACCCCAGCCTGTGACTGGACAGTGAAAGGACAATGTCAGGAACATGTACTTTCTTCCAGCCATCTAGCCTGACCACATTGTTTTTCCACATGCCATTCAGCCTGACACTGTGGACTCTGCCTGCTACTCACACTGTTGTCTGTATGCCTGCAGCTTAGTCTGAGACCAGTGCTCATGTTGTACTATCACCAGCTGGCTGGTCTGTGTTCACTAAGCCTCTGTTTATGCTAACGTTTTGCTCTCCTGGTTCACCTTGCCTGAGATCTTGCCAACAATTTTTAAGTCCCCATCGCTAGCAGTGGCCTTTTGCGGAATAGGGGTGTTTCAGTGAGCTTCTCTTCTCCTCAGATGGATGCATTGTGCTTCTGAATGCATTTTAGGGTCCATATAGGGTAACCTGTGTTTTGAGAAGGCCTAGGTCTCTGACAGCCAGTGGTCTTTGACAGCCAGCAGAACAGGTCCCAGTGATAGGCCTTTGAACTGTGCAATATACTCCAGTATAGAAGGCTCATGAGTTTTGAGGTACCCTGGCATCAGTGTTTTCATGCCTCCTAAAGACCTCATTGAAATGTTATACCCCAGTGTTGGTGTATCTATTATTTGGATGGAGTCTGGAAGTGATTTTTTTGGCAAACTTGGGAGGGGCAGCTGGCCTGTTATCTGATCTTGGTGGAGGGGCACTCAATTAGTCTGCAGACCCCAGTGGAAGGACACCAGGCCTACTATTAGGTGCTGACGGCAGGACACCTGGTCAGTTTCCAGACCCCGGTAGCAGAACTTGTCACCATATCCCTGTTCTACAGGTAACTTTGTCTCTAAGGATACTCCACAAGGCAATGTATTGCACCAATAGGAATCCAGCGCGTGATTTATAGATTTGGACTTTTTTTTTCCGTGATGATTTCTGTATATGGTCACCAGGATTTATCAAAGGACTTGCTGCTCCTTAGAACCTAACTCCATGTTTACTGTGACCAAGCGGGCCCAAACTAACTATTTCCTTCACTAACAGATAATCCCAATTGGCATGCTGTATAAACTGTTTGTAGCATCAGCTAAATACAGTGTACAGTCCTGTGCTCCAGCTGCAGTAAAGGAACTTCTTGCTTCCAGAACAAAACTGAGTTGGACTCAGCACTGCTCAGCCATGTTCTGG